TATATATATATATATATATATATATATATATATATATATATATATATATATATATATATATATATATATATATATATATATATATATATATATATATATATATATATATATATATATATATATATATATATATATATATATATATATATATATATATATATATATATATATATATATATATATATATATATATATATATATATATATATATATATATATATATATATATATATATATATATATATATATATATATATATATATATATATATATATATATATATATATATATATATATATATATATATATATATATATATATATATATATATATATATATATATATATATATATATATATATATATATATATATATATATATATATATTGTTACGTCCAGAGGTACCCCCGGAACCCCTTCCTCATTCTCCCTTTTTCTATCACTCTTCTATTTCGCTCTCCTTTCTTTACACTCTTCTTTCATCCCGGTAGTCGCCTGTTGACATTGTACCGTTTCTTCCAAATTATAATTTTAGTTGTAGTCCCGACCGTATCGTTGCTATATTTCGTATCATGAAAATAATTCACACCTACTACCTACCGTTTTTCTAGCTTATTAAATTCAATTAACTTAGATCCGGCAGTCACTGCCGCTGAATAGCTAAAGTATTGCCACACCGATCATGATGTTATGCGATTTTTTTAAAGATTACGTACTATTTAGATAAACTAAATTTTTTTCGTTCCGTGAGAACAGATGTGCATGATCCGTTTCGTGCCCTATCTTATAAACCTGAGAACAGATGTGCATGATCCGTTTCGTGCCCTATCTTTATAAACCTGAGAACACCGTAGACCACCGAGTCCGTTGGCGTTCCCACAAAAAATGCAAGCTACACAGTTATAGAAGAAAGAGGGAGTCCAAGACGAACGTATAAATAAGGGCCCCGTCTTTAGGACAATCAGTACCAATCATTCAGTCAGTAACAACCATTCAATCAGTACCAACCATTCAGTCAGTACCAATTATTTAGCCAGTATCAACTATTCCGCAGCTACAATTCTACGAGCAGAACGCTCATTTCATTAATCAGTCAACTTTCAGTCTTTTAACGTCAGTGCGGTCTGCGAATTTTACTGACTTCGTCGTCAACGAGTCAGTCGCGAGTCGGAGTGAAATTTTTCTCAGTGTCCATCTCCTTTCAAGAAAGGCACCACAGCCAAGGTGGTGTGACGCTACCAATAAAAACAAACGACGGACGAATCTCTGCCCTGCAACCAGGCTCCTTCTTTTCTCTACAACAAGGTAAATGCTCTATCTATTGAATTATACCGACGACTTCGTGAGCACAACCGACTTCATAATTTATACGTTGCCATTTCGATTTAATTTGTTTTAATTGCGCGAGAACACAATAAATTATATTGTTTATTTTGTCCCTATTCATTTTGTTTCCATTTCTTTCTTGAATAACTCCTTTCATTCCGGGATTCTACCACAGAACCACGGGTAAACCTTCCCGCCTTTCCCCGCCCCAGCTAAGAAGCCGTTAAGCGTGGCGGAGCCGCTCCCGTCGCGCGCGTCCCTGACTACACGGGACGTAACATAAAAAATAATATGTATATATATTATAAGACAAGTCAGTTGATAATCACGTAAAATTAAATATTTGAACGTATTCAATTATATAAATTATAATTTGTTCTTTACAACCATACAAGTAATAGTAGTTAATATGTGTACAGGATTATACTTGAATATTTGCAAAAAATATATAAATATTTATGTATGTATATCAAGCAAAAACTATTGTTTAGGCTAGATTTTGAGACTAGATTTTTTCTCGAATTGTATGAACTTTAGCAAAAAATTCCTCAGAACAAAAAAGTCTTAAAATTAGTCAAAAAATCCTTTCAAATTTTTTTAGAATTTTTTGCAGTTTTGGAAAATTGGATTTTCCGGATTTTCAGAAAATCAAAAAATTGTTACAGAAAATTTTTGAAAAATTTTTAAGTGTTCCTTGACTCATTCCAAGACATTTTTGTTCTTAGGAATTTTTCGCCAAAGTCTATAGTTTTCTAGAAAAAAATTCGTCAAGTTAAAAAACACAATTTCTGACTTTGGCCGCCATTTTGCTTCACCANGTCTTAAAATTAGTCAAGGAATCCTCTCAAATTTTTTTAGAATTTTTTGCCACAGTTTTGGAAAATTGGATTTTCCGGATTTTCAGAAAATCAAAAAATTGTTATAAAAAATTTTGGAAAAATTTGTGAGTGTTCCTTGACTCATTCCAAGACATTTTTGTTCTTAGGAATTTTTCGCCAAAGTCTATAGTTTTCTAGAAAAAAATTCGTCAAGTTAAAAAACACAATTTCTGACTTTGGCCGCCATTTTGCTTCACCAAAAAATTTTCAAATCACATCTGACCATACCAAATCAAATTTTAGACCATTATTCCACCATCTTAACCAGTTTGAGAAGTATAAAAAAATGTACAGAAGTCGAAAAATTGTTTTTAACAAGAAATTGGATCGAAAAAACACGTTTCTTTTTTTATTTTCAATTTTTCCATGCTTAAAATTTTTTTTTTATTTCGAACTATCACTATTCGAAAGAGCACTCTCAAAAACATGGGGTACAGTAATTTAAAAAAATTTTTGGTTCGAANGAAATGGGTAAATCTTTATTCAGTTAGCAAAATAGACAAAATTATCAACGAAAATTATAGCGAAATCCATTTTATAGTTTTTATACCTCTAATTAACATGATTAAAAACTATTGGATAAAGATGAAGATGAAAAAGAAAAGAAATATTATGCTAAGACGCGCTATGATCATCGGCACTCAATCGCTATTTAGAGAAAATGCTTCCGACTGACAAACAGACAAGCGACGAATTTTATCGATCCTGGACATTTCTTACCGATATAATTGTACTATTTACATGACGTATGCAAGAATCCGTAGTTCCAGTTAACATTCCTGGCTCAAGGAATCGTTATATTCTTAAGAAATATTAGTTATATTGCAGTACACAATTTTCTCGGTTTATTGGTTATTTACATATGGAGTCAAGTGGTAAATCTAAATTTCCGATTGACACGTATAGAAAATTATCCGAACTTCAAGTTGTAAAGTACAATGTCCAGCAACTTCAAGTTGTAATGTATTAAGTTGGAAACTACGAAACGGGCGTTTTTGGTTAGTCTGTGTTCAACTGCGACTGAGAGAGGTTCATTACAACGTGCGCTCGATATTTTTATTTATAAATTTTAAAGGTATTCTTCTTACTCATTTTGTAAATTTTTTTCATGTTTGTGTTCCATTTCTATTTTATATTTCTCCCAAACCAGATGGAAACAAAACGCGATTTACATCTACTTTTTTTGTATGAGTACAAATTGAATCATAATGCAGCTCAAGCTTCTAGAAACATTAATCAAGCTTTCGGAGATGGATTCACCAATGAAAAAAGTGCTCGATATTGGTTCCAAAAATTTCGTTCTGAAAAATTGAGCATCGTCAAAGAGCCTCGAGGAAGACCACCGGTCCATATTGATAACGAGGAATTAAGGACGATTGTGGAATCCGATCCAGACATAACTATTCGTAAACTTGGGACTAAGCTAGGAACTAGCCATACGGCTGTGTTGAAACATCTGCGTGCAATAAACGAAGTAAAAAATTGGATTCATATCTACCGTACGAACTGATGGAACTGCAGATGATCGACCGCAAAAGTGCGCATCTTTGTTGATTCGCAATACACGATTGCCGTTTTTACAGCAAATCATCACTTGTGATGAAAAGTGTATTTTGTACGACAATCGAAAACGATCAAGCAAATGGATAGATAAGAATACACCGCCAGGACATACCCCTGAGCCGAAATTCTATCAAAAGAAAATTATGGTTACCATATGGTGGAATGCCAAAGGAGTGATCCATTATTCCTTCCTACAATCAGGCAAAACCATAACAGCGGAGTCCTATTGCCGTGAAATTGATGTCATGCATGAGAAATTTGTGAAAAAACAACCAGCATTGCTCAATCGGCACGGCGTAATATTACTGCAAGATAACGCAAGACTACATAAAGCTTCAATCACTATTGACAAGTTAAATTTTCTAAAATATGAACTTTTACCACATCCTTCATATTCACCAGACATCTCACCGAACGATTATTATCTTTTTCGTAATTATGAATTATTTTTAAGAAGACAAAATACAATAACCAAAACGATATTATAAAAGACTTTGAATTGTTTATTAACTCTAAAAATAAAGATGTTTTTTAAAAAGACATAGATGCCAAAGGAAATTATTTCTATTAAAAATAATAAATAATGTGAAAAATAGCGCTTTTTGATTTTTATTTCTACTCAACGCTCGTTTCATAGTTTCCAACCTAATACAATGATCGGATACACTTGATATT